CAGGTATATGCTTCAAATGAATGGAGGCTCAGATTTCAGTGTAGTTTTCTGGGGAACAAAGGGGTCATGCTAGTTTGTGCTCGTTAACTCATCTTTCTGGACCGCTTTGGCCTAGGCCAGCATTGCCTGCGTGTAATCTACCTGCCCTCAGGTATTCTGTGAGATAAGGCCAACAAAGCAAGTACACGTTTTAGACTCCACCCTCTGCTACTGGTCGGTGACCGGGAACGCAAACAGGTTCCTCTTTCAGTCGAGCTGGATTGTCCCTTTCATATGGCCATTATCAGCTACTTTAGAGTGACATTCTTATGTCGTCGTCATTTTCAGTAAGGCCAGTATTATGGTTTAATTGTACCTGTTAGTTCCTCAGAGATCCTTATGGCTGAAACACTGGTTTCTTTCCCCCATTGTGGGATTAATTGTGAGAGTAATATTCGATTGTTCTTGATTTTCTGGTTGTTTTCTTGATTCCTCAATACTGTTCTTTTTTTGTCTTGTTCCTAGGTATCTTTTTTGACTTGTGTCTCAGGGACAAACTGTGGGAGGTCACTTCTTGTTCTTGATTGTCTCTGAAATACTATATTTTTGTTTGGTTTTTTTGGGTACCCGGATCTTGTTTTCTCAAGATTGGTGTGGGGTGTTTATTCTTATGGTGTCATGTTCTTTTGTCCTTTACAGCTGCTGGAACACTGGAATTTCCCACTGTAAGATCAGTAAAGTTCTACCTACCTACCTAAGTGAACAGTGACAGCTGTGCTACTACTATTATGAACAAATGAAGAATGAGCAACTGGTGTCGTCACATGTGAACATCTGGGTCAATCGGTGGCAAGATGACCGCGTAGTAGCATGACCGAAGTTGTGCTTACTAGACAGTGGCGTGGCTGCAGTGCCCACTGCATTTTTATTCGGCTAATAGGCATTCAACAGAAAAATACGTGTAGTAGGCGATTTCCAACACACCCACAGAATAGAATATTTGTCATTTTCATTGTGTGTATGCATACACAATAAAAAAAATAGTTGTTTGCCTCATTTTACAGCAGTGCAGGTGTGACTGGGCCAATATACAGGCCTATGTAACCCAGACACTAATAAAACAGATACTGGTGCAGTATGCTGTGTACTCCACTGTAAAAGTCAAGTATCCATCCATCCAAGTATGTCAACAGAAAACCACCTATACCCTCTAGTAGCAGGCCTACAGTCCTACATACCAGGTGCCGGATGGTGAAATTAGTCTTAACCCTATAAAACCATTTGTGTCATATTCGCTACGCAAGTTTCTGAGCATTAAAAATGGCCAAAAATGCCGCATGTATCAAATGTGATACAAAAAAATAAGCAAAAATAATAATATGGCACATTTATTCCCATATGCCTGGACTGTCTGTCTATGTATAAATGGCAAATAAAAATCTTGAATCTTGAATTTTCTTTTGGATTTTGTTAAAAGGTTTAATAAACATCTCAGTTCCAAAGAATTAGAATGTTCTGGCTATTTTTTTGATGTGTCAGGCTTTACAGGATTAAACATCTTCACAATGAATTGGGTTGCCTTAGCTTCAGTGTCTACCTGTTCCAGTGTGTCAATATGCATGTACCTCTAAATACAAAAAGCTCATCAGATAATCTCATTTTAATACAAGTCACACTCAATAACATACTGACATTTTAAACTTAAGCTAAAGCAATAGCAAGTGCCTTGGTCTCAGCATGTGGTACCAGATGGTCAAAGTTGTAGAGCCAAAGTTTAAAGAGAGCGGCTCCATACCCACCCACTTGCAGGCCTCCAAATAAACCTTTGCTCTCCTCTTTTTGTGGAAATGACTAAACCTGCAGTAATTCCACCATATGCTTCCTTTCCATGTAGTAAATATTCTACAACAACAGCTGTCCCAACAAGCCATTTAACTTCATAGTTAGTAGAAATTAGGAGTATTTTATGTACAGTACAGTATATTACATTTACACTTACCATCCAACTCTAAGTCTGTGTCAAACTCATCCTTCAAATCTTGGTGTTGAGTTGGGTATGGATAGTTAAGGAGAGAGATTCTAACGATAGTGTTGACATTGCAGGCTGTTGTCTGAGCTCTCTTATAACCAATACTCAGCTTTTCACTCCGTTTAGTAAAACATGGGTCACATGTTAAACGTGATGCACCTGCAGACTGAATCATTAGCACTACAAGTCTATGATGATCGATCTGTCACATCTGACATGTTAAATGTTTCACAGAGGTCAAGTTTTCATCAGAGCAGTAGTCAAATATATTTAGCAAATTCATATTGCTTTTGTGCTTGATATTGGACTTGTATGATTGATGTATTATTAAAATAGTTACTAATTACATTTCTCGTGATTGATTGATTCAGTTCATCTAGAATCTAGAGGAACACACTTTTCAGCCAAAGTCAATGGTCAAATTTTCAGTAATAAATGATGCTTGAATATTCAAGGGAGTTCTTCTGGAAACAGCTAGAGTTAGACTTAACTATTTTAACTGGAAAATACTTGAACACATTTTTGTTTTTTTCTCCAGTTATTACCAAACTGTGTCAGTCTTGCTTGGAAATTTAAACATTTTAGGAAATAATGGGCCCACCGAAATAAAGCATTACTAATATGTGATGTGACAAGGTCAATGCAAGGCACAGAATTCAGCTGCTTTTTACAAATAAACACATTTAAATTTTGGGGAGAACAATTAACAAGCCTTATGTTTGTGGGAAAGCCTTGAACCTGTTGCTTTGAGAGGCAAACTCTTGTTGCCGGTGAACAACTTCTGCCCTGGAGGGTGCAGCTGTTGCTGAGTGCTGCAGACACTTCTTCAAAAACTCAGTTTTATTCTGTTTAATTTTGCAATCTGTTGACACAGTTAATTTTTAGAGTCTCCAGCAGCAGGCTCATGTTGTTCGCTGTGTAAGTATCACCTGAAATGAAGAGTGTGAGCAGAACCTGCTGGCGCCGGAGATGCAGACTGATTTGTAACGCTCACTTTGTTGCAGCTCTGTCTTAATTTTCTCTGTCTCAGCACTGGTTTCTCATCGCTGCTTTGCTTTATTACCGCCAGTTTGACACCACCCTGTTGTGGTAGTGCTTTAGTAAATTAGTTTGTGCTTTGGCTCACACCACACGTCAGGCCCGCTGGTCCTGGAGCTTGTGTTTGTGAAGCCAGGCTCGGGCTTAGTCATGTCTGTCTACCTGTGCATCTCCTGTGACAGATGATTGTTTTCTAATTGTCTTGTCTCGCTGTTTCAGGTGTAGCCAGGAGGATTCGTCGATTGCCAGAGAATCATGGAGCCAGATGTGATTCGCATGTACTCGTCCTCCCCACCCCCGATGGAGGACGGTGCTGAGGAAGAGGATGATGAGTTCGGAGACTTCGGCACCTTCTCTGGTGGTGTCCCAAGCAGCGTCAGCGTCACAGAATTTGACACCCCGACAACTTTTAACCAGTCCCAGGCTTTGACTGCCACCTCACCACCTGAGCTCATCAGCAGCAGAGGGCTGATGGGATTCAACCACAACTCCTCCAACGGCATCCACGGCCCTAATAATGAGCTTTCCAAGGCTAATGGCATTGTGCCATTGAGCCACCTAGGCAGCGGTCCCTCAGAAAGAACTGAGATGAAAAAGGCCCTCTCCAGTTCCCTGGACTTCTCAGTAAGCGACACAGCTGGCAGCGAGCTGGCTAATTGCAATGGCGGAGGTACAGAGGTGTTCACTAACGGGTTTGCAACCTTTGATGTTCAGGTAAGCCCTTCTTCACAGAGTTCTGTGCACTCTTATTTAAAAGGAGCATCCATAGAGGATATGGGCAGCGGCGCCGTTGGCAGCCCGGAGGACGATTTTGCAGACTTTGCTGCTTTTTCCAGTGCTGAAGGACTCCTCAGCCAGACAGCAAACAAGGACTTGGACAATCCCACAGGGGGCAGCTGGCTGCCAGAAGCTGCCTACCATAATGAGCACTGTAATACAGAGCAGGGAGTGACTTCAGAGGACACTGTCAGGGACACAAACAGAACTGGTCCTGGCACAGCTGGCTCTGATTCCATATCTGCTCCTGCTGAGGCCCCAGGCGGCTCGTGCAGCATAGACCAGGGCTTGCACACAGACATTGGCTCTCAACAAAGGGACGTAGGCTTTGCACAGGAGGCAGGATGCACTAACAGGCCCCTCACTCTGAACAGTGTCAATGTAGCTGACAGGGACGATTCCAAAGAGGCCGCGGGCTGCAGTGAGAGCGACCTCTCCCCTGATGCAGCTGCAGATAGTGAGGTGGGACAATCTGGCGAGAAGGGCTCTGGGAACGACACAGAAACTGAGACAGAGACGTCGTTCGGCCGGCTGCTGTCCACAGATGCTCTGGAGGAGTACGGAGACATGAGCACCACGGGCTCAGTACCCTCTCCTCCCCTCCAGGGGGATACTGCCACACCCGCTGACCACAGCCAGCTGGCAGAGGACGATGAGGACTTTGGAGACTTTGGAGACCCTGGCTCCTTTGGTGGTCAGGGCTTTGTGGAATGTGAGCAGCTGGAGGTCCAGCAGGAGCAGAGCAGGTCCTGCAGCTCACCTCCTGCAAAGGAAGTTACAAACACTGATGAGGATGATGATTTTGGTGACTTCAACTCCCCCAAATTTCACACCAGTGGACACGAGGGGGAGGATGATGGCAGGTTTGCAGAATTCCCCGTCAGTGACAGTTTTGGGAATTTCAGCTCAGCTGTGGAAGGTGTCGATGGGGAGGCAGATGCAGGGTGGAGTGCCTTCGGGGAGCAGCAGCAGGTGGAGGGGGAGTCCTGGGTGGCGTTCAGCACTGAGCAGAGCGTCGCTCCTCCTGCAGAGGTCAGAGATGAGGAGCGGCAGGAAAGTGAAGCTGCCCGCAAACAAACCAGCAGGACAGACAATCAGTTGGGAAGCACTG